AAAAATAATTGAAAAAAAAGGAGATATTATTGGTCTGGAAAGAAGTCCATAAAATGGAAATGCTGGGAGGAATGTACTCCATGTTTAAGGTAGTAGACAGAATTCAAAAGTCCCTTTTATCTGTAGCACTGTGGTTCCTCATGCTGCTTTTCTCCCTGTAGATGGATTTAGCATTACAGTCCAGCCAAGTCTTCTGCAGTCTCCTTAGAAATTGCCTAGCCTCTTCCCTTCCTTTTCCTTTTCTCATGTTTTATCTTCTCTCTCATTCCTCCTCCTCTCTCTTACCCTTGGCTTCCCTTTCTTTCTGCCTTTTCCACCCACAATTCCTCTCCCCAGAGAGAATTACAAATGGTAACCCAATAAGCATTTACCAGTTATGGCCTATAGATCCCCATTTTATAGAATGCGATGAATGAGACCACACTTTATAAAGCTAGGGCCTTTCTGCCCCTAAAGAATCCTTGGAGATGTAATTTGCTTTTGCTTTTAATTATAGGAGTGGCACAGAATAACTCAACACTAAGGGTTCGTATTTGTATATGTGCTGCCGAAGCGAGCACTAAGGGTTCCTATTTGTAAAATATCACCAAGAGGTCTAATCTTGAGAACCACTGATATAGTGATGTTCCCTTTTTTCCTACTACTACCTTTTCCTCTTTTTACTCTGAAGGGAAACTTGACTTCATTTCCTAATTCAGCCTAATTCAACCCGAGCTTTTATTTCTTAACTCAGCATGAGAAGAGACTGACCTCAAAGGACCGTTAGCTTGCATTAAATGTTGGGAATGTACTAGTGACCACTGGCTTGACAGTAGTGTATTTGAGTCACCATTTTTTTTTAACTAGCAAGCTATGGCCTCATTAAAGGGGTCTGCAACAGAATACATAAAAGACCCATAATTCTTCCTGGCTCCATCTTAAGGACTCATCAGGGTAGATCCTTAAGCACCCGGGAACCGCCCCCCCCATATATCAGAAGGCCACATTTAAGGTATTTTTCATTTCAGGAGATGTTCCTAGAATAGCTCATGAGTTGGATAACTCAGCAGTTAAGTGCCTCGTTTCTGAAGTGACTCTGTTTTGTATACATTAGATACTTTGGGCCCTGGTTGTTGGAGCTTTGCAGGTTCAGTCCTCTGGGCTTGCAGGTAGAGCTAGGGTTGCAGACACTCAGTGTTTAACATCTTTGTTCAAGAAGAATGGAAACACCTATGCACATCAAAACTAATGATTCTTTAGGGCAATGTGTGACCATTTCATAGAAGAGCAAATTTCAAAGCACACTGCTTAGTGTCCTTCCCCAGTGGCATTCACATTCCTCTCAGAATTAAAAGGAAAGCTTATAATTTAATGGCAGCATGACCTTTTACCCAGTTTCATCTGTACTGTAAAGTTAGTATTTCTTTGGCACATAATCCCACTTAGTGCTTATTTTCAAGCTTATGCTGTTTAATTGTTCATTAAATAATTTCTTATCCACAGATTATGTTATCAAGATGGTGGCTTTATTAGAAATATAATACCTTCTTTAACCTTCACTTGTCGTTTTTACCTCTGTGTTTCTTAGAGTCCTGAAGATCACACACCACCAAAACTAAAAGCTAACTAATATTTGTTAGCTAAGAGTTTATTATCAAATGATCCCCTAGACCAGTGATTCCCAAAATGAAAGTTGGGATGTTGACTGAGATAGTTGGTCTCTCTTAAAGGGCTATAGTCTCCATATCCAAGCTAAACTTAGTCTCTTTTCTCAAACTTGCCTCTCAACCCACACTCTTCCATTTGATGAGATGGGACTGCTGTCCTCTCTGCTCTTAGATTCCTTCCTCCTCCTTTTTCCTGCATGTGGTTACCTATCAGATCCCACTGATTAGCTTGATTGGCATTGTGGTGTGGCATGGCTGTCCTTGTCCCTTCCCATCCCACTGTTTTGGTCAAGGCCTGAATAAATTGGTTTCTCTGTCCTCTTTGCCCCATTCTGTCCTACAAACTGCTTACACTCCCTGTAGATTTCTTTCTACAGCATTATCTTGTTCTTTACCACATTCCTCCTATAGACCCCTGTATCTCTAGGGTGGTGCTTCTCAAACTGTGGCCTGGACCACAATCCCCTGACAAATTTGTTGAAACACTAATTGCTGGATCGATCACACCTCCAGAATTTCTGATTACACCTCAGTAATGCCCTTTCCAAGGGCCTCACGTCCGCTGGACCACACTTTGAGGATTTTGGCTCTGGGATGAACTCTTGCTCCATTGGTTCCAGGCCAACTCCCTCTGTCCATTTCTTTGCTTCTTTTATTTTTACTTGCATTCTAGGGATTGAGCCCAAGGCATTGTTCAGGCTGGGCAAGCACTCTGCTTTCGAGCTACCTCATCAGCCCGTCTGTCCATTCTGAGTTCCTCCATACTCTCCTCAGCCAGTGCCCCTTGGAGTCTCTTTGAGAACAAGCCTGTGTCTTGTTTACCTGATTTCCTTCTGCCCCATTTATAGCTACAAGAATCCCTTTGCAAAATGTAGAAAGCAGTTTTGCTTTAAAGAGCTTCTATTGAGAAATGACCTGGATGAGTTAATGTCGTGGTCAGATGTAGGGAAGGTGTCATCCTAAGCAGTCGTGAGCACTTTCCCCTGCCAGCTGTGTTTCCCCACACAGAGTGGGCTGGGCCCTGGCCTGGAGGAAGGATTTATGGTAGTGTTGACCCTGCTTTACTATGCACCCCTTTTCTTATCTTTTTCTCTCCTTATTTTTCTGTAGTCTCTATCATTCTCACTCCTTTCCTTTTTCCTTCCTACCTCAGCCTTGGTACCCTAGGTCTTTTTTGTTTGACCCAGGTTGAAGAGATTTTTTTTTTTTTTTGGTACTGGGGATTGAACTTGGGTCCTTGGGCTTGCAAGGCAGGCCACCTAACTGCTGAGCTAAATCCCCGGCCCTTGAAGAGATTTCTGATGCTTACTAGAAAGCTACAGCATTCCTTCTGAATTTGAATCTATGTGCCAAAGTAAAAATAGAGTTCCGTAGCATTTCTGTTTTAGTTAGTACATTATTGGGTGTATGATCGATAGTCTACACATTCCTATTTTACAACACTGATTTTATTTAACTGAAACAAACCCTGGAAGTGAATGTAAAGAATCTCCATTTCACAGAAAAGAATAAACTCAGATTAACCAATAATAATATGCGATTCTAAAATGACGAGACTTTTCCATCTTTGTGAACATGAAGAGTAACTGCTTTGCTTTATAAAGTACCATATTGTGGATGATAATTGTGTTTGCAATCATGACTGTAGGTATTAGAAAGTTTCTGCCAAGACAGAGATGATAGTAGGATGACTAGAATATGATATTGGGTCATATTTACTCCATAAAACTATTTGCAGTATTAGATGAAAAGGTAAACACAAGGCCAGGGAACATAGCTCAGTGATAGAGTACTTGCCTAATAGGCACACAGCCCTAGGTTTGATCCCCAGCAATGCAAACAAACAAAAAAAGTTAAACATGCATATGTATAATAGGAGGTACTGAAAGAATGTAATGAATTTTGTATTAGCATAGGAAAAGTTCAGGAGTAACTTATCTTGCTCTTTGACCCCCTGCTTCATAGAGTCACTCCTGTTTTCTTTTATCAACCCTCAAGCCAGAAATTATCTCTTCCAGCTTTGTATAGAAATCCTTGTGTCAGTCTAATTTTCCAAGAATTTCCCGATAATGAAAATGTGAAGGCCAATCCCTGAATTAAAAAAAAAAAAAAAAAAAAAAAAAAGAATTAATTAGATGGATGTGGTAGTTTTGTGCTGTATTTGGCTAAGCTGGAACTGTGTCCCCTTCCTCGGTGTGTTTCCAGGATAGAGCAGGAAAGAGACAGCTAG